AGCTTCCTGAGCCACTGGGATTACAGGCATGTGTCACTGCACCCAGCAATACAATTGATTTTTTTAAATGTTTGCTTATGTACTGAGACCTGCTGAATTTGTCTGTTAGTTCTGGGAGTTTTACTGGTGGTTTCTTTAGGTTATTTATATAGGTACTAACGTCATTTGCAAATAGAGACAATTTAATTATTTCTTTTAGAGGTAAATGCCTTTTTCTTTTTTTTTTTTTTAATTACACCAGCAAATGTTTCCAGAACTATAGTAACAGTGTAGGGAGTTTATATTCTTCCTGGTCTTAAGGGGAAACTGTCAATCTTTTGCCCCTAAATATGTGAGATGTAGGATGTTTGTAGATCACATTGAAGCTATTCACCTCTTCTGTCTCTGTCTCCCCCACCCCCAGGTACATGTCAGGTATGTGCTCTACCACTGAGCAGTATAAACCCAAAGCCCAATTCCCCTCTTTTCTCAGTTTTTATCTTGAATTAATGTTGGATTCTGTAAGGTATCAATTAATACCAGTTTTTTGTATCAATTAATATGACCATGTGATTTTTCTCCTCTGTTGTTAATATGCTAAATTACTTTAATTTATTTTTATTATTGAACCAGTTGTGAGCCTCAGAATAAACCCCATTTGGTTATAGTGTATGATTCTTTTTATATCATATTTAGATCTACAGTAATATTGTGTTAAGAGTTTTTTGTGTGTATACTTGTTGAGAGCCACAGCCCAGTCTGGATGATGCCTGGCATTTTTGCCAGAAGGAGTGGTTGAAAGGTGATGCCAGGGAGCCATTAAGATGATGATAATTAAGTTAAGCTCTGTATAATTGCTGTGACTGGATGATGCTGGATTGAAACAGGCTGTGTATCCAGTTGTATATTAGACTCCTGCTGTCCGGCAGTAGGGCGGCTCCTGCTGCCTTGGGCGCCCCCTACTTTTGAGTTCTGAGTTCTTGTTGAGTTCCGGTTGAGCTCTCGCGGGGATTCCTGGAGAGTTCGCATTGGTTGGTGAGGTTCCAGTGGAGGGAGTTCTGGTTGGGGTGTGGTGTTCCTGAAAGGGCCGCGTGGGTGGCCTTCACAGGAGTTCAGGCAAAAAAGGAGTTCCTGTTTGAACCTACAAGTGCCTTGTGGCGGCTTGGTTATTTTGTGCTCAGCTAGATGGCGGCATATGGTGGCCCGTACGGGGATCAAACCCGCGACCTTGGTGTTATCAGCACCAAGCTCTAACCAACTGCCAGGCGTCATCCCAACTCGGCTGTGGCTCTCAACATCTACTCATAAGTGCTGTTGGTTTGTAGTTTTATTTTTTGGTACTGTACTGATTTGGTTTTGTTATTGGAATACTAGCTCCATGAAATGTGTTGGGATGTGTTCCCTTCTTTCCTATTTTTCGAAAGAGACTTTTTAGGACTCATGTTTGTTCTTATTCAAACATTTGGGAAAAGTGTTCAATGAGACCACTCAGACCTGAAGGTAGGTAGGTTTGTTCATTCCTTTCTCCTTTATTTCCTTCCTGCCCTCCCCCTCCCTCCCTCTCTTTCTTTCTTTCTGCCTTAAATTTATGGATTCAATATCCTTAATAGTTGCATGGCTCTTAAGTTCTCTATGTTTTTGATGTATTGCGCTAGTTTGTGTTTTTTTTGTGGGATTGATTCATTTCACCTAACTTGTAAATGTATGTGTGCAGAGTTGTTCTGTAGTATTGCCTGATTATTGGTGTCTGTAGGGCCTGTAGTGGTATTTCTTGTTTCAGTCCTGATACTGGTAATTTTTCTCTTCTCTGTCTCTCTCTACCCCGCTCCCTTTTTTGTGTCAGTGTTCTTCAGAGAAACAGAACCGATAGGAACCAACACTTGCATCTTCACATATAGGCATAGGTCTGTATGTCCACTGCCAGCTCTCTTTATAAAGATATGGAGACAGAGATGGTGTTTGGGGGTTGCTGGGGACTGAGTGAGGGCTTTTCAGGTGCTAAGCACACACTCCACCACTGAGCTACAGCCCAACCAGAGAGATTTAAAAGAATTGGCTTATGCAATTATGACTTGCTGAATCCACAAATCCAAATTTTTTTTTCAGTACTGGGGATTGAACCCAGGTGTGCTTTACCATTGAGCTATATTCCTACATCCCAAACCCCTAGAAAAAGATTCTTAATGCAGAAGCTTAGATTATTGCTTTCAGACATATCTTCTTTTCCAAGATATGCATTTAGTGCTGTACATTTTCCTCTTACCACTGCTTTGGATTTCTCTATATGTTGTATTTTATTTTAATTAAGTTCAATATTTTCAAATTCCTCATGTCTTCTTTTTTGAACCATGGATTATTTAGAAATTTGTTGTTTAGTTTCCAAGTATTTGGAGTCTTTTTTTGTGATCTTTCTGCTAATGGTTCCTACTTTGATTCTTGTATGATCAGATAACACTTTGTATTGTTTCATTTCTGTTAAATTTGCTGGGGTGTAATCTGTGAGCCAGGGATGTCTGTCTTGGTGAATGTGCTGTGGTTGCTTGGTGAGAGTGGACTCTGCTGTCATTGGTGTTGTTGGATCCTGTGGTTGACAGTGTTGCAGATTTCTTTGACGTCTATTAACTCTCTGTCTAGTAGTCCAATCCTTTCAGTTGCTGAGACTGGGGCAAAAAAAGTCTCCAGCTATAATTCCAGGTTTCTCTGTTTCTTTTTTCAGCTCTTTGAGTTTGTGTAGTTTTAAGTCCGTGTTTGGTGCATACCTTTGTAGGATCATATCTTTCAAATGGGTTAATCCTTTTTTCATTGTCCCTCTTGTACCTAGTAATTTTTCTTTGCACTAAAGTCTATTGTACATGATTTTAATACATAATAAATAAAAATATGTGCATTATGATTTGGAAATCTGTGTTGATACAGGAGTGTTCAGATCCTGGTCTTTTTGATCCTGGTCTGTTTCCTCCACAGAGGTGCTTACTGAACTCTGCAGAGGTGAAATGACTGAACTGTGAGAGCTGTTGGGAGGGACTGACTGGGTGGTACTGGAGGAGGTGGTCATGGGGGTACCCTGGAGGGGTGCATGTGCCCTGTGGTCCCTTCCCCCACGCTGCTTTCTGACTCGGCCAAGAGTGACACAGCTTTCCTTCGCTTCCCTTGTGACGCTCACCACAGCCCAGAGCAGTGGATTTGGCTGTATGTGGACCGCGGCTCTGAAACCATGAGCCCTAAGTAACCTTTCCTCCTCTAGGTTTTTTATTATTATTACTTTGATTTACTACATTTTTCAGTTCTATAATTTCCATTTGGTTCTTTTTGAAAGATTTTTTTTTAGTTGTAGACAGATACAATACCTTTATTTTGTTTATTTGTTTGTTTCTATGTGGTGCTGAGGATGGAACCCAGTGCCTCACACGTGGTAGGCAAATGCTCTACCAACTGAGCTACAACCCTTTTGGTTCTTTAAAAGAAAAAAAAAAAACTTGTGGTTCTTTTGGTTAAGATTTTCTATTTTTTCATTTGTTTCAAGATTATTTGCAATTGCTTGTTGAAGAGTTGTTGTTTTGGGGCTGGGGTTGTAGCTCAGGGTGGAGCACTTCTCTCGCACTTGTGAGGTACTGGGTTCAATCCTCAGCACCACAGAAAAAATAAATGAATAAATAAAATGAGATATTGTGTCCATCTACAATTAAAAAAATATTTAAAAGAATGAGTTGCTGTGTGTGTGTGTGTGTGTGTGGAGCGGGGTGCTGGGGGCCTTGTGGATGCAAGGCAAGCACTCCACCAGCTGAGCTATATCCCCAGCCCTTGTTGAAGAGTCTTTGTGACTACTGCTTTATAACCCTTGTCAGACACTTCCAACTTCTGATTCATCTCAGTATTGACATGTGTCAATTGTCTTTTCTCATTAACTTGTGAGTTCTAGCTTGTAGCACAACACATTATCTTCTGATTACAGTCTGGACGGTAGGTATTATGTAGGAGGCAGGGACTCCTCTTTCAGCCTTCATTGCATCTTAACTAGGAGTTGAACAGTGGGTTTGAAGGTGGTCTGGCATTTTGATCCTGGTCTGTTTCATCCACAGAGGTGCTTACTGAACTCTGCAGACACTGCCTGTGGTGCTTCTTAGGCTGCCCAGAGCTGGTTGGGAAGAGGAAAAGTGGCACAGGTGGCCCAGGGCCACAGGGGTCCTGCCAGCTCTGCTCACTTCCCTAGGGGAAGGCACTTGGGCTTTCCTCACCCTGGGTGGGAGGCAGGGAGACCCTGGGTTGGACATTTCCTGCCTCGGGCTGGAGGTCAGGCGGTGCCAGTCTGCCCTGCCTTTGAAGCTGGGTGGGGATGGAGGCTGCAGTCCCGGCTCTGGTCAGCCAGCTTTCCTCCTCCGACTATTTGGGGTCCTGTAATTGTCTGCTGTGTCATTTAAAAGTCGCGTTTAGCTGGAGGAGGGGAAAAACTAGTCCACACCATTTGCTCCTGAACAAGAAGTATCTGGTCTTATTTATTTATTTATTTTTGAGAGTATATTCTTTTTTTTATATACATTTATTTTATTTATTTTTATGTGGTGCTGAGTATTGAACCCAGGGCCTCGCATGTTCGAGGCACGTGCAAGGCACATGTGAGGCAAGCGCTCTACGACTGGGCCACAACCTCAGGCCCTCTCTGGTCTTATTTTAAAATTATGTTTATGTAATTATTTATCCAGTGTGTTTAAAGGTAGTGTTGCTGAAGCACAGCGTGCACTCACACACATGCTCCCCGAGACGTGTGCAGCTCTGTGGCGTCAGCACTCGAGGATGTGCCAGGCTTCCTGCAGTGTGGTGGACAGTTTTGTGAGTCACAGACGAAGCCACACCCTCAGCATCGCTCCCATCTCTCCCTCCCAAGCCCCTTCCGTAAACCTATTTTACACATTTGCTGATTGGGAACATTTCCCATAGTGAGTGGCCTCTCTCACTGAGCAAGGTGTTTTCAAGGCTCATCCACGTCACAAGTTCATTCGCTGTTATCGTCAAGTCTCATCCCATTTATATGCACACCACACTTTATTTTATTTTTACATTTTGGCTACTTTGAGTGACACAGCCATGGACCTTTACATATACATTTCAGATGAGACCTGTCTTCCTTTCTCCTGGGTGAGTACCTGGGGCAAAAGAGTTGTGTTGGATGCGAAGCTGCTGCTTAGTGCTCCAGGGAGCATCTGCTCCTCTACACAGCAGCAGCACCACACAGTCCCCCACAGTGTGAAGCCTGCAGCATCCCCAGGTCCTGGCTGATGCTCGCTACCTGGTGAGGTACCCTGGCGTCTCAGTCCTTGGTGGCTGATGCTGCTTAGGGTCTTACAGGTGCTCATCGGCCATCTATATATCTTCTTTGGAGAAGTGTCTGTTCAAGTCCTTGGTTCAGTTTTTAGTCACTTTGTTTTTTATTGTTAAGTTGAGGGCTTTGGCTTTGATTCTGAGGGAGACGGTGAGTCAGGTAGTGTCTCAGCACAGAAGTGACAGAATTTGCTGGGCTGTTGCATAGAACAGAGGTGCCAGGATGAAGCAGAGTAAAGAGTAACGGGGTCCTGGAGAGAGACAGGTGGGGAGCTGGTCACAGAACTGGTTCTGGACACACTGTGAAAGGGGAGCCCCAGGATTTCCAGGTGGATCTGACCCGCGTGTAGGGCCTGCCCCTCTCTTGGGAAGCACGAGGGTGCCTGTGACTGACAGGATGCACTCATGGTCTGTGGCTGCTATGATAGACCTTAGACTGAGCATCTTAAAGTAGTAGATGCTCCTTGCCTCAGAGTTCTGGAGGCCAGAAGTCTGACGTCAGGGTTGGCAGAGCTGCCTCCCTCTGAAACCTGTTTAGGAGGATCCTTCCTGCCTCTTCCAGCTCCTGTGGCTGCCAGTCCTTGGTGCTCCTGGGTCACCCTTGGCAATCCTCCAACCTGATGCCACACATATCACTCCAGTCTCTGTCTCCACCCTCAACGTGGCCATCTTCCCATTGTATATCTGTGTTCCAGAAGATGCCAGTCATTGGGTTAGAGCCCACCCCGTAACCTGACCTTGATACATAGGCAAAGACTCTACTTCCAAACCAGGTCACAGTCACAGGTGCTGTGGCTGAGGACATGTCCTTCTAGGAGACATTCTTTCCATTACAGAGGGGGCATGACGGAGTTGCTTGGGGATGAAGGTGGAAGCTGAGCATCAGGTTGTTTTGAGAGTCCCATCAGATTTCCCAAGGGGGTGCTGAAGGGTGGTAGATGTAGGATCTGTCAAAGCATAATTTTCAAAAAGTTAAAAATATGACTCATACAGCTGTAAACTGAGGATGCATCAAAGATTTATTTAATCCCTAATGAGGAAAAGCAGTGTGAGGGTGAGGCGGGTTCAAAATATTATAGAAAGGGAAGTATTTGTAGTGTCTGAGAAAACGCTTGGTTGAGTAAGCCAGCTGATCTACGTTAAAAAAAAGAAACTTGGTTAATGCCGTATAGGACTATGAAACTGTAATCTTTTCAACCAGACGAAACAATTTCTGTCACTCATTACTGGATTAAATCATTTTGCATTGCCATCAGACAAGGATGATTTTATTTAGTTATCTGTTTTCTACAAGTTAAAGTTTATCCTTGCTGAGTTGTAAAATAGCATAAAAGTCAAGTTAAACACACCCCAGGAAGCAGAACCCCTCCTTGGCAGGTCTCGTAGACAGCACTCAGCCTGCCACTGAAAGCACACCATGCCACCCTTTTGCATGGTCCTGAATTCTGGAGAAGTTTCCTTATTAGAGCTCCCTTATGATGACAGTCTCCACAGGTCTGACCATCACAAGGCAGCCGTCTTGTGTGCTGACCTGATTCACAGATATATAAAAGTGGTGATTAACATGTACCAACCTCCCTGTTAGGGCACATCTAAGCCATGCCTTACGCAAGACCAAGGCCAGAAAATCAACTCTGTCTGGAGATGTCATCTTAAGGAATGTAGGACTGAACCTCTATTATACCTGAGATCTTTTTTTTTTTTTTTTTTTTGGTGGTGTTGGGATTGAACCCAAGGCCTATGTGCATGCCAGGCAAGCACTCTATCAACTGAGCTGTATCCCCAGCCCCAGGATGTTTTTTTTTTTTAAGTCTGGTTTGCTCTTCTCATCCTAGGATAGGAAACTGAGCCAAGCTAAACGCCCTCAAGTTGGCGTGCAGTTCTTGAGCAGGTAGGGAGTGTAGGTGAACTCTTACCTTGCTGAGGGCCTCTGTGTCTGTGTGGTTCTTGGCTTGCCAGGGAGCATCTTCTTACCACTTGAGTGGCTGAGACTGTACGCCAGAGCTCAGATGGCCAGCCGGAGCGGGCTGAGGGCGGCGTGGGCACAGGTCCAACACATACTCTGCAGCCCTCGTTTCTTCAAGATGGGTGTGTCATGTGGCTCACATGAAATATATTCTCAAGTACGACACCCTTGTGAGGCCTTGGTTGCACAACCGACTTGTCTAACTATTTCCTGGTAAAAAGGAGGACTGATTTCCATTGCAGCTATGTGAATTGCTAGATTTCTATTAAAGTAAAGGTAAGTAAACATTGTTTTTCTGAATTTTTTTAAAGACCCTCAATTTTGTTTGTTTATTTTTATGTAGTGCTGAGGATCTAACCCAGGACCTCACAAGTGCAAGGCAAACATGGTACCACTGAGCCACAACCCCAGCCCCTATTTTTCTGAATTCTGAAGTGAGGAAAAATACTTAAGAATGTTTCATTTGTTTGTGAAATAGTCTATTAAAGATAGGTCAAGGGGCTGGGGTTGTGGCTCAGCAGTAGAGCGTGCACCTAGCACGTGTGAGGCCCTGGGTTCGATCCTCAGCACCTCATAAAAATAAATAAAATAAAGATATTGTGTCCAGCTAAAAAATAAATATTAAAAAGATAGGTCAATAAAAAGAAAAAAAGGCTTTATCTTATTCATGCCAGAAAATATAACATTAAAAAGAAAAGAAAAACAAACCATCAACACCCTGCTCCTTTCCTCTGTTGGGCTAAGCTTTCAACCAGCAGATCTAACGGGTCTGAGGGGCCTTGAGGTCCCGTGCCAAGACTTTTTTTTTTTTTTTGGTGATAGGGGTTTAACCCAGGGGTGCTCTAGCACTGAGTTACATCCCCAGCCCTTTTTATTTTGATACAGGGTCTCCCCAAGTTGCTTAGGTCTTGCTAAGCTGCTGAGGCTGACTTCAAACTTGCAATTCTCCTGCCTCAGCCTCCTAAGTTGCTGAGATTCAGGTATGCACCACTGCTCCTGGCCCACAGCCAAGCTTCTAACTAGTGCATGAAAAGGGACACTGGGGGATGCATTTGGAGTAAGTTTCTATTTGGTATAGCCCAGTGATGGTTACATACAGGGAAACTGAATTAAGCAAATGCTTACGGGGCTGGGGATGTGGCTCAAGCGGTAGCGCGCTCGCCTGGCATGCGTGCGGCCCGGGTTCGATCCTCAGCACCACATACCAACAAAGATGTTGTGTCCGCCGAGAACTAAAAAACAAATATTAAAAAATTCTCTCTCTCTCTCTCTCTCTCTGTCCCGCTCTCCCTCCCACTCTCTCTTTAAAAAAAAAAAAAAAGATGCTTACGAATTTCTTACTGTTGAAAGAGTCATAAATATAGAAAGGGAGGAAGGACAGAATCAGAAATATTAATATGAACTCTTAAGTTAAGAATTATCACTGAGGGGCTGGGGATGTGGCTCAAGCGGTAGCGTGCTTGCCTGGCAGGCGTGCGGCCTGGGTTTGTTCCTCAGCACCACATAAAAACAAAGATGTTGTGTCCACCGATAACTAAAAAATAAATATTAAAAAATTCTCTCTCTCTCTCTCACTGTCTCTTAAAAAAAAAAAGAATTTTCATCAATGACACCATCAGGGTATGTGCGTGTGTGCGCACATTCGGGTGTACATAGGCATCTCCCAGTTGTTCCTGCTGAGAGTAAGTGGAATCATCCTTCATAGTCTTCTGTGACTTGCTTCTTCCACTCAGCATGCTGTGGCTGAGATTCAGTCATATAGTTTCAAGTGGTGGGATCCATTCATTTTTGGTGCTGTGTGCTGTTCTGCTGTATGGAGATACCTCTATTTATACATCTTACAGTATGAGGACATTTGAATCTTTAATTTTTTTTTTAAGTTGGAGATGGATACATTTATTTACTTTTATGTGATGCTGAGGATCAAACTCAGTACCTCACACATGCTAGGCAAGTGCTCTACCCCTGAGCTACAACTGCATCCCAATATTTGAATCTTTTCTCTAGTATTTTTTGCTATTAAAAACAGTGACCCTCAGGGCTGGGGGTGTGGCTCAATGCCAGAGCACTTGCCTAGCATGTGTGAGGTACTGGGTTTAATCCTCAGCACCACATAAAAATAAATAAAAAATAAAGGTACATCAACAACTTAAAAAAAAAAAAAAAAAGTGAAGCTCAGTTGGTAGAGTGCTTCCCTTGCATGTATAAGGCCCTGGGTTCAATCCCAGCACCAAAAAACCACAAAAACAAAAACAATGCTATCTGAGCATGGTGGTACATGCCTATAATCCCAGCAGCTTGGGAGGCTGAGATAGGAGAATCGTGCATGCAAAGCTAACCTCAGCAATAGCGAGGCGCTAAGCAACTGAGACTCTGTCTTTAAATAAAATACAAAATAGGTTTAGGGATGTGGCTCAGTGGTTGAGTGCCCTTGAGTTCAATCCCTGGTACCCCCCTCCCCCCCAAAATAAACCCCAAAAAAACAACAGTGCTGCTTTGAACATTGCAGGCATGGAATGCCCTAGTAATATATATGGACTTATCTCTCCACCTAGGAGTGGTTTTCTTGGGAATCTTGCTCTAGGAACCTGGCCACCATCCTTCAAGGGAGTCCCCACAGCCCTCAGCCCACCAAGATACCAGCCACGTGAGTGCACCAACTCTGAAGTAGTCGCTCCAGCCAACAGTGGCCACTGCTGCATGTAGATAAGCTGTGCTGTTGAGTCCTGCTCAGGCAGTGGATCTGGGTGCAGAAGGAATGATTGGTGTTTTAAGCTACAGAGTTTTGGGGGTGGTTTGTTATGCAGCAATAGATAACTGATACACATGACCAATTTCAGTAGGTAATGTCATGTTATTTGCCAAGATAATTGTACCCCTGGATATTCTGGCCAGCAAGTTACATGCATTTAAAATGCTCCATCCTCTAGCATCACTGCATATTGTCAGACTTTAACATTTGTGCCCATTAGGTGTGCTCTTAGTTTGCATTTCCAAAATTATTCAAAAGATTTCATATTCTCTGCAAGGTGCCTGATTATTATGAAAGTTTCCTTGCTGATTATGGATTTTGCCCATCATTCTATTGAACTGTTTCTTTTCAATGGTTTTGAAAGAGTTCTTTATGTATTTTGGATGCCAATCATTTGCAAGGTATGTTGCACATACTTCTAGTTCCTTTTCTTAATTCTCTTCCTACTGTCTTAAAAATAGGACTCATTCATCCCATACTTTTATTTTTGATCTGCATCAGTTTTCAGGTGTATTTTCTCATAAAGTATAATTTTTATTCCATTCCTAAATTTGTACACAGTAACAGAGGTCTTAGCTGGGTGCATGCCTATCAGCAGCTTGAAGCAGGATTGCAAGTTTTAGGCCTCAGCAACACAGGCAATAAATACATAAATAAATAAATAAAGCTTGGGATGTAGCTCAGTGAGAGTGCCCCTGGGTTCAGTCTCCAGTACTGCAAAACTATCAACCCCAAACCCCACAAAGTAATAGACTTTCCTACTAATAAAAGAAGTGAATTCTAAAGCACTTGAGAAATTTGGGCCAAGTATAGGCAAATGCCAAAAGTGGGCTGACAATGAAATGATTTGTTCTTTGGTGAAGGAAACTTGAGAAAATAAATTTGGATACCCATCAGGTGCATGTCTTTTTTTTTTTTTTTTGGTACTGCTGGAGATTGAACCCAGGGCCTAGTACATGCTAGGCAAGTGCTCTAAAACTGAGCAACATCCCCAGTCCTTTTTAAAATCGTATTTGGAGACAGGTTTTTGTGAAATTGTCTAGACTGGCCTTGAACTTGTGATCCCCTTGCGTCAGCCTCCAGAGCAGCTGGGATTGCAGGCATGAAGCCGAGTAATTGGAATTATAGGCATGCACTATCATGCCAGCAGGTTTATGTCTTATCATAGCATTAAACAATATTTATATTCCAATCTTAAGTCTCTGTCTTTTAATGGATTAATTTAATTTAATCACATTTTTGATTACTCAGTTGTTTGAACTTATTCCTGCCACCTCATATTAAGCTCCTCATTTACTTTATCTTTTATCTTTTCCCTGTTTTGGTGTCAGTTTTTCTTGGTTTCATCTTTTCCTCTCATTTTGTATGTTCTAAATCCTATTTCCATTTTTCTAGTGGAAACTTTGATATTTTAACATTTTAAGTCTTTTTCCTATCCATTCTAAAATCCTCTAAGAAATACAAGAACTTTGGCGCACTTTAACTTCCTGTTGCCTTCTTTCTTTGCCATGTCATGTTGACTTCATCTGGGATTTTTCTCCTTACTACTACTGATTTTAATAGTCCAAATTGGTTTCTTTGTTGACATTCATGTTTCATTCTTGGATTCACTTTTCATTTTGCTAAGGTATTATTATGGTTTAGATATGAGGTATTTCCCAAAAGCTCATGTGTGAGATGATGCAAGAAAGTCTAGAGGTGAATGGATTGGAGTCTGGTGTCTTAACCTAATCAGTGAATCAGTCCCTTGATATAGGGGGTCAACTGTAGGCAGGTAGGGTATGGCTGGAAGAGGTGGTTATTGGAGGCATACCTTTGGGGTATACTTTTTTTTCATGGTAAGGGGAGTCTCTCTCTCTGCTTCCTGGGTGCCATATCCCCAGCCACTTTCCTCCATCACACATTTTTGCCACGATGTTCTGCCGCATCTCCTTAAGGAATGGACTTGGCTATCTATGCACTGAGACCCCTGAAAACATGAGCCCTCAAATAAACTTTTCCTCTCCAGATGTTCCTGTTAGGTCTTTGGTCACAGGATGGAAAGCTGAGTAAAACAGGTATTGTATTCTCTTAGTACTTTTTTAGAGATGTGTTGTAGTAAACTGGGATGTTTATGGGCTGTGAATGTCTGTCTTGCTGTTTCACTGTGTAGAACTCTTAAGTTCAATTCTATTAAGATCTTGACAATTCCTCTTCCATACAGTGTCTGATTAACTCTAAAGAAGATCCTCTTTTCTGAAGGCTTCTTAAGCTGGTGTCTTTGTCCTTGGAATTTTAGAATGTCACTCTGTCATGCCCATGTGTGTGACTTTTTTCTTCACTCCTTTGGAACATGAGTCTCTTGTCTGAGAAGCCTCACCGTGTCTCTGTCTCCCGTTTTGTGAAGACAGGTTTCCTGTCTTTTCAGGTTCTCATGAGACTGTCTCATTTTCCCTCGTGTCATGGGAGATTCTCTAGCTTGTTGGTTTGGATCTGTTCTCCCCAAGGTGGAAGGAAGAAAGGTGCAGGCCTAGTGCACTTACCTCCATCTCCCTGGCACATTTAGTCTCAGATAAGCAGACACCTGTGGAGCAGAGACAGTGTTTGCAGTTCCTGGTCGGGTGCTGCGCCGTGGTCAGGGCCCCAGGGCTGGGCCTGCTTCCACCATAGCTGAATTTTGTGTTTGGAGAAATTTCCAGTTTCTGGTCCTTCGGAGCCAGAGAAACCTTTTCCTTATGGATAGGAAGGTGGGACTTTGCTCAGGACTGATCACTGGGTGACCCTGGCTGTGGTAGATCTGTACTTTGGGTGCAGTGGGGCAGGAGTGCTGGCCAGCCACAGGACTGCCACCTGGATTGCTTAGGTGAACAAGGCGACCCTGCTGCTCTGAGGCTGTTGGTGGAGCATCCTGAGCAGTGGTCCTGACCTGCCTACCATGTGGAGGGAGGTCTCTCTGGCTCAGAATGACCCAACCTCTGTCCTGGGGTAGACAGACCCTCTTTCTGAGGGGCTTGCTTGCCCTAATACCACAGATAGGGCTCCCCACCCTGCTAGGAGCTCCTTCAACACCATCTGTACCAATCACAAATCAATCCTTGAAAGAAACCGAAGAACCATCTAGGTTTCTCTCTCATTTTGAAACATTTTGGGACTTAATCTTAGAATGAAAGTCACCAATAAAACCACTGAATTAATTTAAGAGTTTAGGCCAAAGTAGAAGCAGCCAGTTGAAGACCAAGGTGCAGGTCTCCTAGCTGCCCACAGGGTCTGTTTCCGGACATCTTCGGTGGGCTTACCAGATCCCAGGTGGGGGTCATGTACCTGGAACCTGGTGTGCAACACTCTCAAGGGCCGTCTGGGCTGGAGCACAGTGCCCTTTCCTCTTGCACCCTGCCCACCCATCCAGTGATCCTCCACTCCTCGTCCAGCCTCCCTTGCCCCACGTCCTGGTTACTACCACCACTGAAGGACACACTCCCAGGGATTTGACGACCCTTCCACAGGGATCCCACTTCCTAGGTCCCCTCAGTCCCTCAGAGCCACCTCCCTCACCCTGAGGCCCCCAGGTGGAATATACCCCTCTTGGGCTTCACCCCTCAACAGCTTGCTGGGGACCCCAACTTCTGGTGCCCGCTTAGTCCCTTCCATAGGAACCACCAGTCACCGTGCATTCTCAAGAAATTGCTCCACCTCTCAGGAACCCCCTTCTGGTCACCCCACACTGTGAGGACCCCCCAGCTCCTTGGTCCCCCAGGACCCTGTGCTCCATCCACCCGCAGCCCCTGCAGCCCCCTCGGCCCTCTCAGGTCCCCTCAGCCACTTCAGGTCCCCTCAGGTCTACTCAGGTCCCCTCATCCACCTCAGGTGCCCTGGCCCGCCCCCTCAAGTCCTCTCAGGTCCCCCTGGGCCCCTCAAGCCCCCCGGCCCCCTTATCCCCCTCAGGTCCTCTCGGGTCCCTCAGGTCCCTTGGCCTCCTTAGGTCCTCTTGGGTCCGTCAGGTCCCCTCAGGTCTCCTCGGGTCCCACAGGTCCCCTTGGCCCCCTCAGGTCCCTCAGGACCCCTCAGGTCCCCCTGGCCTCCTCAGGTCCCCCGGCCCCTCACCCCGCCTTCCCCTCGGTCCCCTTCCGCGCGGCCCCGCCCCCGCCCCTCCCCTCCCCTCCCCTCCCCCGCCCCCTCCCCTCCCCCGCGGCGGCGGCCCGGCGCGCGTCATGGCGGCGGCGGGCGGGGCGCGTCTCGCACGCAGCGCGCCGGGCGGAGCGCTCGCCGCATTGTTTGCTTCGCTGGGGAGCGAGCGGCGGTCCGGCCGGCGTCCGAGCAGCCCCGCGCCCGCGCCCGCGCCCGCGCCGCTCCGGCGGCCCCGAGCCCGCTGCCGCCGGCGCCCC